CATCGACGGCAGGGCCCCATGGTGGGGAAGCCCCGCGCGCCTGGGCAGCCTGGGGCAGCCGGGGCCCCGATCGGCGAGGCACGCAGGGGCGACTGGGGGTCCAGGCTTCCCCCCGGAATGGCGCCCGCCCGACGGGGGTCCGAATCGACGGGTGGCGACGCACCGACGATGAATCGGCGATGCACCACGAGGAGGAGGAGGAGCAATACGAGAAGGAGGAGGATGAGGAGGAGGAGGACGAGGAGGAGAAAGGGGGAGGAGTCGGGGGACGATGAATCGGCGATGCACCAGCAACGCCAGGACGACGAAAATCGTGTATCGAATCGAGCTGCATCGCCGATGTATCGGCGATGCGGCGTGGTCCTCCGACCCCATCTGATGACCGAGGTCTGGACCTTTTCTTGGGGGACCGGCTTCTCATCCCGAGTCGCTGCGGGTGGAGGAAGCCCTTCGCTGCCTCAAAGGAGATAGCATGGATCGCCGCCACCGAGAACCTATCGAGGGGAAATCGCCCCTGTGCAGTGGCACGCGTGAACGCCGCCCCGTACTTGGTGACGCATCGAAGTGCCACCGCCCATGGGTCGGCCGGCCCCCCGGGATGGATTCTCGGTGGCGGTGGCCGTTGTTCCTCCTCCGAGTCGGGGGGTAAACGCTAGGGGGGTAAACAGCTCCGGCGGGGGATGCGTCGACCTGGAATCGGAGATGCGTCACCCATGGATCGGCGCTAGGCCGCCGATAGCGAAACCGCACGCGCCTTGGCGGGCTTGGACTAGCGGGCCGCGGATGTTGTGCGAAAACTTAAAAATAATCCAAGGATGCTCAAGAATTTTCATGAATAGTCATCAAATCGTCCCCAGACTATGTTTTACTCTTTTGGGATATTCCTCCTGTGGAAGGACAGGCCCGACCTAAGCCTGACCCCCTCTTTCGGGGGCGGCCAAGAGGGGGGCGTCCAAGAGGGGGGGGGTGCAAGCCATGGCCGGCGGCACGTGCGCAGCCCAAGGGGGGGCCAGGGACGCCTCGCAACGAGAAGAGGCGCCACGAGATCTGGGGAGACATCATGACCAACGCCATGTCCCCCCCTACAATTATGTTGCTCCCATCGTACTTAAGGACCACATCCGAGAAATAATTTCGAGCACCCAGAAAAGTGTCGAAAGAATGTCGAAACAGTGTCGAAACAGTGTCGGACGAGTGTCTCCCAGGGCCCGACACGTGAAAACCCTTGAGTTTGGGGGTACTTTTCTGGTGTTCAAAATTCTCCCTGGTGGTCAAGGCTAAAGTAGGTTGGAACATCATAACCCTACGGTCGGACTCGACTGGAGAGGACACGCGAGAGGGCACGAGACCCCTACGAAGGCCACATCGCCACAGGAGTGTGAGAAGGCACGTGACGCGAGGCACAGGACACGAGGACACCCTTGAGCTGGCAGGGTCCACCTACCTATCAGGGCCGACTGCAATCGTCACCCCCCTCCCTGCCGCTCCCGGCTCGTGATCCGCGCCGTCTGGTCTTCGGACTTCTTATGACTCGGGCCTCGGGCGGCCGACCGGGACGGCCCATGGGCGCCCTTGCGGAGCGCTCTCTCGGCGAGGCGCCACCGCCAGAAGTCAGCCCGGGGCTCACAAAAAGCCACCGCCACCATACGAAACACAACAACAACGAAAGCGACAGCCACAACAACAACAATCAGATTAAGACTGTTCGCTCCTATCTGCTCACATGCTACCCTCGGTACCGGTCCTCGTCGTCTTCGATCGCACCCTCTTGGGGGTACATCTTCCTTACATGCCACGTGTATTGAATGCAGCCCCTAAAGCAAGGCAGAGAGGACGGGTGGATGGGGGAGGGAGAATAATGGAGCACGAGAGAAATTAGCAGGAGGGGGGCAAGGAGCAGAAAACAAGTGGTAGAACCAGACGGGCAGATCGGGTTGGCAAACCTATAATGACATGAACAGGTCGGGAAGGCGGGCCCAGGCGACGAGGTCGAGCAGGCGGGTTGCTGAAACGTGGGTCCTGCATGAATCGCGAGGAGGTCACGAGCGATAGCGCGATTCCTAAATAAATCGTAAGAATAGCCAGCGTGGACCACGAAGGGCATAACATCCGAGGCCACAGAGGGCAGCGACGGGGCCGCTGAGGTCAGCACCGGAGCCACGAAGGGCAGCGAGGGGGCCACAAAGCGCGACAGCGGGGACACGAAGGGTACGCATATGGGGCCACGACGGGCGCGAGCGAGCGGGGGCCACGAAGGGCATTCGTATACGGGGCCACGAAGGGCGACAGCGGGCCACTGAGGGCAGCAAAGGGGCCACGACGGGCAGCGAGGGGGCCACGAAGGGCGACAGTGGGGCTACGAAGGGCATGCGTATGGGGCCACGACGGGCGCGTGCGAGCGGGGGCCACGAAAGGCATAGAATGTGGGGCCACAAAGGGCAGCGACGGAGCCACTGAGGGCAGCAACGGGGCCAAGAAGGGCAGCGAGCGAAGGCGACCGCGGAACCAGTACGGGCAGCGAGGGGCATCGAAGGCGGGCGAAGGGCAGCGAGCGGCGACTGCAGTCATGAACGGGCTGGTCGGGCGGGCAGGCCCCGATGGGCGGGACGAGAGGGCGGGTCATTGAAGCGCGAGTCCTGCTTGAACCGCCAGGCAATATGCAGCGGGAGCGCGATTCCTGAGTGTCGCGGACCGGCATCTGAATAAATTGTAAGGAAATCTCAATCGAAGCGGTTCGGTGGTAAGTTGCGAAGAAGTCCCCAGCGAGAGCGCGACTCTGCAAAACAATGTAAAGAAATACCAAGCGGGAGCCGCGATTCGGTGGCAAATTGCCAGGAAATCCCAAGTGAGAGCGCGATTCTTCAATAAATGGTGAAGCAATATCACGCGGGAGACGTTGTTGTTGTAAACGGGGGGCCAACGACCCAGTTTGAGCATCAAGACTTTCCCTGATAAAAAATCCGGGTGCGAGCCCCGGGAGGGGCACTTCATTGGGAAAATACAATGTGCACCGGGCGGGGGTGATCAACAAGAACTATTCTTCAGAAACGAGAGTTCGTCAACAACAACAAACAAACACAACAGCAACAGCAACAACAACAACAACAACAACAACAACGACAACGACAACGACAACGACAACAACAACAACAACAACAACAACAACAACAACAACAATCATTTTACCCGAACGCTCAGTGTTCTCACCAGTGCCAGGGTTTCATGCGACGCGAGACAATACCCCCACTTCGTGGGGGGGCAGTTCAAGCTCTACCAAATATCCAAACGACTCTTCGCGACCACCCAAACCCAGCTTCCCGCCCTATGACGTTGGGACACTTCACTTCGTGGCGTGCGGACGACCGTGGCTACTACACTGGCGTGGGGTACACACCCACAGAACTTGGTCACTTATTCGGGGCGCGCGTGTGCCCAGCATCCTGCAATTGTGACATACAATACATGACACAGACAGACAGAGAGAGAGACAGAGAGCAGACAGAGAGAGAGACAGAGAGAGCGGAGTTGGTCACATTTTTGGGGCAAGTTCCTGAGATCGTCGTGTTTTTTGTTGGTCTTGCGCGCGCGAATGTCCACTTTACTTTTTTTTGCAAGGGAGTATTGAAATTTGATTATGTTAGAACAAGAAAAAGTAGCTCGCGCGAGCTCATGTAACATAAATGTTGAAAAACCATTGGTTTTGTGGGAGTCGGACAGCGCGCGCGGGATGAAATTTGGACATTTTTTTTTGAAAAACCATTGGGTTTTTGATGTTTTTATGTTGAAATCGTTACGAAACCTAAGGTTCTGGAAGGATTTCGTCTTGCGCGCGCGAATGTCCACTTTACCTTATTTTTTGCAAGGGATTATTGAAATTTGATTATGTTAGAACAAGAAAAAGTAGCTCGCGCGAGCTCATGTAACATAAATGTTGAAAAACCATTGGTTTTGTGGGATTCGGACAGCGCGCGCGGAAGGACATTTTGACAATTTTTTCTTAAAAAACCATTGGGTTTTTGATGTTTTTATGTTAAAATCGTTACGAAACCTAAGGTTTTGGAAGGATTTCGTCTTGCGCGCACGAATGTCCACTTTACCTTATTTTTTGCAAGGGATTCTTGCAATTTGATCAAGTAAGAACAAGAATTTTCATTTTCTATTGTTTTTTGCAAGGGAAAACGAGCGTCAACAAAAAACCGGATCCGGAGCTCATCCACTTTTCTGAAGCTTTCGCGAAAAAATGATGAAAATGTAGCTGCGGCCTAGGCGCGGCGCAGAGGTCGCGCACCAGGGGTCCCAACAATAATAATTCTTTAGAAGGAATAATATTCAACAACAACAACAACAACAACAACAACAACAACAACAACAACAACAACAACAACAACAACAACAGCAACAGCAACAGCAACAACAATAACAATAGCAACAACAACAACAACAACAACATCATCAACATCAACATCAACATCAACAACAGCAACAACAACAACAAACAATCCTCGAACCTCGAACCCCCTGAGCACATGCCCCCATGGCGCGCTGCCCATGATCGGCGCCCCACGAGCTCCATGCTCGCGTCGACCACAGAGGGATGATGAAGGAGGAGGAGGAGGAGGAGGAGCAATACGCGGAGGAGAAGGTGAAGGATGAGGGCGATGGGAAGGAGGATGAGGAGGGAGAGGAGGAGCGAAACAGTAAAGCCGAGGATGCGGCTCCCAAGTGCTAGCGTGGCCGCGGGAGGAAAGGCAATCACGCGTCAAGCTCGCTCCTGATTTCAGAGAAAGCGCCCCCAGACAAATCGGCTGAGGGCCTCCAAACCTTCGGGGGGTGGGGCCCGCAGAGGGGGCACAGGGGACTTCAACTTGCGCACCCTCGTGACCCAGGACGAGCCGCAGTCTTCACACAGATCCCCACCCGGTGGCGAAGTGGCGAAGTGGGGCGAGACGGTGGGTCGGGTGGCGCAGTGGGGCGAGACGGTGACCCGACCCGGACAGAGG